ACAGTTATCAGAAGATCCACCCTAACTACACACTCACATGATTTACAGTTGGTGCTGGGTATTGGGGGGTGGGCTTTCCACACATTTACTCAAGTGCCCTCTTTACCTGTGGCCAGCTTTCCCTGAGTGAATGATCCTAGAGGCCAAGGCAGATCCCCAGTACCCTTCAGGATCTAAACTAAGCAGTACACACCATTTCTCCTGCATTCTATTTATCATATGAGTATCCCTGATTCAGCATGGAAGGGGAATGCAAACGAGTGTGAAAACCCAGGAATCAAGGATCCTTTGTAAGTTTCTCTTCACTGATTTCCATTTAATAATTATTTATATTTCTTCGTGGTTGGTTCATCCTGAATTGCTTTAGATTGGAGGGGGGAAATACTGAGATTGTTCAATTGCTCTTATGAGGCTGTAATATTTATTCTTTTCAAAAATAAATACACTGTAGATTTTCATGCTTATTCATTTTTGATTGTAGAGAACATCACATTAGGCAAGGTGTACAGTGAATACATTTAAATTCCTTACTTAAACAAGTTCCATCAGTGGTAATACTACCAATTTGATTATTTTCATTATTATGTTACTAAAGACATAACCAAATTTCAGTTTCTTCTTGTTTTATTTTGGAGGTCTTTGGAAGCCTGGCTGCCATAGTCTGTCAAGTGGCAGTGGGATACCAACTAAAGCCAACTCTATTACTCCTCAGAGGTTGGGTACCTTGATATGTTGTATCTGTGAGGTACGCTTGCTCCATGCATAACTATGGAACCACTTCTATCTCCAGGGCCCCTTATGCTTGTGCTATTCTGTGTCCTTCACTCATATAACAATAGTCCTCTATCTTTTACAGAAGCATCTAGAACTTTTCTGGTGGCCTTCTCATATTTAGTATCATTCCCACAGATTTCCAGAATCAGATAGTATTTTTTCAGGCTCTTCTCCAAGTTAACAGACATATTTTTCAAGAAAAATATATTCATACTTGCTTTTATTTATAGTAGATTCAGAAATACTCCTCCCACTCAAGCTAATTACTATTTATTTAGAACGAGTTAAGGTTTTGTTTCCAGAAAAGGTTAAAAGGCAATCTATACATTAATTAGGAGAAAATTCATGAAGGACCCAGAAAGTATTCATGTGGTCTCTTCTCCAAATAGCCAAAAGTAATTATCTCCCTAAAGAATTATATCATCTTTAACTTTAGGCTTTCAAAAAAATATAATAATTGGCACCCCTCCGAATTTTTCACAACTTTGATATTCTTCTTCATATTTCTTCTTATCCCACAGTCTCTGGAGTATCTCATTTTCTAAATTCTCCTAGTTTTTGCTTTTAGCCTATACACATTTCTCTCTTTCATCTCCCCTTTCTCTTCCAGCTTTTCATTATGTAGATTGGCCTAGTCTTTTCTTTCTTTTTTAAAAATAGGATCTCACTGTGTTGCCGAAACCATCTTTGAGCTGGCTATCCTACCTCAGCCTCCTGAATCTCCAGGGTACATGCCACCATGGCTGGCATTTAGGTTGGCCTGGGAACCAAGTCTGGGCAGCCCATGTGGTCACAGCTCCAGAGCACAGCTTTTCAGTAGCTCATTCCACCACAGCTGCGCCCAGCTTCATCTTTCTGTCATATAAAGGGCTTTTCTACCTCCACCTCCTTCTTAGTCGTGTGTCTTTCTGCCCATTCTCTAACTGTACATTGACAAATCCCAATCATCAGCCTGGTACGGATGACTTCTCCTCTTGAAAGCACAGGTCTCCCAGGTGTAGGGTGAGGTGAGATGATGAGAGGTAAGCTATAGCACTGCTTTTGTCTTTATTTACTCCGGTGGAGGGAGAGGCCTAGAAATCCTGTCACTTTAACAATTTTTCCTCTTTATACCTTCATTTATCAGCAAATTGATCTGACAAAAACATCTTCAAAATTCTTTCTGTGGAAAGAGTTTTGCCTAAAGGAGTAGAAGAGGCACATGCCCAAGCACGGTCTGGATTCTCCTGATTACCTTGATAAAGTACCATTCTGTGCACTTCTGTGTATTCTTTTTATATTACCTGGATTTCCATTACAGTTAACATGCGACAGCAAATAAACAACAATGAAACATTTACTTTAATCCCTGGTGTGAATCCACATTTCAATTAATCAGGCACTTTGAGGAATGGGAGGCAGCTGAACCCCTTGCTCCACTGTGTAATATATATGCAAGGACTGAGTGCATCAGTTAGTTGCATTTTGAGCTTAACCTGAGGTGGACTTTTATTTATTTATTTATTTTTAATACTGTGGTCCTTCAAGCATAGGGGTCAAGTTGGCAACTTTGGAAACATAGAGAAAGTCCTGGGGTAGGCAGAATTCCACCTTGGCTCCCAAGGTGCTCACCTTTGTGTAATTCCCGATTGTGGTGTGTTGGATTTTATCCTGCCTTTGAGTTATTGATGTGGTATGACTGACCCCAAGAAAGGGAGATTATCCTGGGAGAGCTGACGGAGTTAGATGACTTGAATTCTTCTTGCAGCCAGAGATTTGAAATATGAGGTTCCATGTGAGTGAAGGCCTCTGGTGTTGGCTGTGAATATGGAGGGACTACAAAGCAAGCAAGAGGGCTTTTGCTAGGAGCTGTGAGGGTCCCTGACTGGAAGCTGATAAGGAAACAGAAACCTCAGTCCTACACCCACAAGGACCTAAATTCTGCCACAATCACTGGTCCTTGAAAGAGGAACTTGAGTTCCAGAAGAGAAGGCAGTTGGCCAGTACCCTGATTTCAGCCCATGAAAACCTGAGCAGAGAACCCAGTCAAGGAAGGTCCCAACTCTTGACTTAGGAAGTGGGATAATACGTGAGTGTTGTTTACAGCCACTGAGTGGTGACTTTTTATGCAGCAATAGAAAATGAATACAAGTTCTAACTTGCTTTCTTTCCTAGATTGGGTACGTGACTCCTTCTACTCAATTACAAGCCAAGGGACTTTCAACAAATGTCTCACTTCTGTGAACCTCAGGTTCCTCACCTGCAAAAAGAAAAAAAATCATTATTAGTTTCTCTCAGAATCGTCGAGAGGCTCGTATGAGGTAATTACAATAAAGAGTCAAGAACGGTGGCTGACACCTACAAGAGCTACATAGAATTAAACTATTATTACTCTAGGAAAAGTCACTAGAGTACTGATTTTGAGAACTTGGGGATGATCATTAAGCAAGCAGAAATTATAGACTCTATACAATGCGATAATATCTTTTAATTATTTTATCCTATGTAATCGTCACTACCCTATGAACAAGATATTATTAACAACATTACTTCTTTTAAACTCTTTATTTTGAAATAATTATAGACTCACAATAAGTCATAAAAATAGTACTGAGAGGTGGCACAGACCCTCCCCTCAGCTCATGGCGGCATCTTATATAACTACATTATCAAAACTAGGACACTGCCATGGGTAATAACCAGGCTACAGCCCTTATTCGAGCCTCGCTATTTCTAACTTCATTTTCAAGATGACAAAACTGAAGTTTATTTCCATCACTGATTTCAGATTTCCCTTGAAAGTTTTGGTCAGGTCCTATGGATTTATACTATAATTCGTTTGCCTTTATTGCTTATTTGTACTCAGTGACAGATTAGGGGAAAATGTGGGTATTCACTATTCTGATTGATTAAGACCCAACCTGTATTTATAAAAGCTTGTTTTTGACTATAACCTTTATTTATTTATTTATTGGCAGAGGAAGAGAGATGGCACTGTAGATGTTGACTGTTTGAGGACAAGTTGACACACATATTGACAAGCTCACAGTACCCACATATAGGCACAACTCTGTGACCCTGTTACCATCTCCCAATGGTCATAAATATGTGAGAAGTAGTCTCCACTTTTCTTTTAGTTACCACGGCGGACAAGGATTCATACATGCAATAAGGCTGAAGGTGACCTAGAAGTCGGCTCTTTAAGGTCTAGATAAAACTGCCTTGGACCCCTACCAATTAAGGAGTCTGTAGGAGTTTTCAAGATTTCAGTGAATTCTTCTCGGGGATCCTTGCCTTGTCTGCCTCCAGGGATTCCATTCCCACACATATTTTTCTGTGCTTTTCTGTGTAATTGGATTTAAAACTCCTCGAGTTCCATGAAAACGCTACCAGCCTAAGGTATTGTGAGCACTGTGGGCTGAATAAAAGGGTTTAGAGGGATAGGGGAGGGACCTACATTCTACTCTTGCATACACAACTTCGGTGTTGGATGTGAGACTTTCGCTTTCCTAAAATTCTTTGGAGCCAAACTTCTGCCAGGTGGCTCTCGGCATGCCTCTCAGTATCAGTCTCAGAACTACTGACCCCGTTGTCTCTTCTTCTCACTCACTTTTCCTGTTCTTGAGGGGAAAAATATATCTTTCCCTTTTCTTTTGCCCTCCTCAGACATCCTGGTTCCAGATTCTTAGGCTTGCAGCTCTGCTTTAGTAATTAGAAATGATTTCTCCAAAAATTTTAATGTTCTCCCTGAAACGATCTGGTGCCAGATGTTAAGATGAAATGTCACTTTGCTATTAATTACTGTTAATTTTATTATACATTAATTATTCACTTATTTAACTTTCCATCACCTTCAGTATTACACATTTTTCCTGGTTTTCTTTCTGCCCCAGAGTTAATAGATGTTCTATCTGTGACTGATAAATGAACTAGTTCTTGTTGCATTTTGGGTAGAGATCTTGCTTTATGCAAAGCTAAGGGGAGCACTAGCCACCGGAAAATTCTTTTGGAGTGTTAAGGAGTTCCTATGGGGTCCCTTCCACTTCAGTTTTAGATTCCAATTTACCCTCCCAATCCTGACTTCCTTCTACCCATTGGCCCCGCCGTGCTCTCAATGCCTACTGCAGTGTTTTACACAGGATGGGCACTCAGCAAATATTTGTAAACCATAACGAAAGTCTACACGATAGCAGATTGGCTGAATTGATCATCTTTGAGAAATCATAATATATCTTCTGCTGTCTCTTCTCTTCTGTAGGACCTCCATGTGGTGCAAGTAACTGATCCCTGGAAAGCAAGGCTGTAATGTGAGCCGGCCACTGGTAACTTATTGGTTGTTATGACAGAGGGGAGCATCACCTGGTGGTGTTCATGTCCCGATGGCAAAT